CAACTCATCCCTTGTGAATACAATCTAATCAAGCCCTTCAGGAGTCAGAAGTCCACAGATGGAGTAAAGCATCTGAGTAATACGAAATAAAGAGATGCAGATGATGCCTAGTAAAACCGGCAAGTCTGGGAATTGATTGAACTTCTAATTCACAACAGCATATATCAAGCAAATCATTAATATAAAAATTTGAAATTTTTTCTCCTAAATTGGATAAAGGCATCCTAATCTCCAATATTCAGGGTTGACATTAAAAAAAAAAAAAACATATGGTGGACCATGTGGTTAAGCTTCAGCTGCTGAATAGATTCTATAGGAATACTGGTCTACTGGAGGAGAGAGTGGGGGAACTTAGAGGCAATACTGGAGGATGAGGAAGTATCCTTGAAGATGGTTACTGTGTCTTACCCTAAATCCATACCTTCCTGTGGGCACTCTCTACTGCCTAGGATGGTGTGTGAAATGGAGGATGTTGATCTGACCTGATACAAGTTCTTATGACAGAATCATTGTGACAAATCTTTCATGCAGTATACACGTATGGAAATGGAGATGCTGTAATATGCCCTCACCAGGGAAATGTGATAACTGTATTTTTAGAAATGGTCTGGACTGTTTGCAGTTAGGTAATTTTTGTAATTCTGAAGGCTCTTGTAACTCAGCATAAGGTTAGTTAATGTTGAGGAAATAACAATGATTAACATCTGTCAACAAAATGACCCTCTTCTAATAATGTAGAGATAGTATTGTGACCTAATGGTTTACCAAATGGTAGGGTAAGGAGTAAGAAAAGGATGCTGAGTTAAAATACATTGCAGAGGGGGTGTATTGACCAGATTGTTTTGGAGAAGAAATAATTTAATCTGCTAGAAGTAATACTGTCTGAAGTAGAATTGAGGTTAAATTTCTGACTGGCCAGTTCATCTGGGTTTTGTTAATTTAAATTAAATATATATATATATATATATACTAATATCATGTAGCATGATAACTACAAAGAAAGAACAAACATTACAAAACAGCAGTATCAACTTATTTCTTGAATGGAGTTTTATCTGTACAGGTACTGAGTGTAAGAACAGCTTCTAGAGAGAGACAATGTCTTTATTATATTAAGCTGAAAAAGATGTTCATTGGAAGATCCAGACGAGTGGAAGTACTGTCTAAACCCTTATAAAGAAGTCATTAGGAGCACAGAATTAACTAAGAACTTCCACTGATGCACTGAGAGGGGAAAAAAAATGTTTGTTTAGAAATGCATAGGAACTCTGTTCATGAAAGAGAACTCTCCTTTGGTATATGTCAACAGAATAATGAAAATGAAGGAAAAGCAAGAAATGTATACAGAAAATGATAAAGGAGTGTAGGTAGTTCTAATAGTTTATTATAATACAACTAAATCTTACATCCACAGTATGCGTCAATGTTTTAACCTTCAAACTCAAAACACTGGACTTTTTAATTAGAACAATCAGTCACTATGCTTTTATAAAATACATAACATTACCATAAAAGCATTGCTGACTGAGTACAGCGCATTTCTAAAAAGCTGCAGAACAGCAATCCATAGACATGTATTAAGATATGTTTAACGTCTGGTGTGGGGCTGGATGCTTAGGGCTGGATACTTTGCTGCTAGCTCCGTGCATGAACTGGTGTTTTCTTTACTGTCTGGCTATAATTGGTATGTTTAATTAGAAATACAAGGCACTGGAAGAATGAAAAAGAATAGAAAGAACAGCAATAGTGAAACTGAGATATAGAATCAGACAGAGGTAAGGCAAGATGAGAAACAACAGAATGAGAAATCTTTCAACTTGAGGTTGTAAGTTTGGATTTTGGGGGAAAAAGCAGTATTGACTGGCTGCAGGTTCTTTGCGTCTGGAAGCTTAGCTGAAATTCATAGTCCAGACTTGAAGGTCTCACCTAGCACCAACTACTACTGAGACATAGATACATGGATTGGTAAGAAGAGTAAAGCCTTTTCACATCCCAGATTATGGTCTCAGGGGATGATGTGGAAACACAGTGATGGAGTTCAGCTGTGTAAACCTGCGTTGCACATGCTGTGATTGTTCATATACATGGTTCTAAGGAAGAAGCACTGTGTACTCCAGCCCTTCCACACAGTCTTTGACGTCTGTGCTATGCAGTTCACAGACTCCTCTAGCCCTGCCATGGGGGGCAGCTCTCCTCCTTTACTACACAACATTTTTGTTCCCCAGTATGTAATGTATTTTGTGGATGAGATACTTCCAGAGCAAGTTCTTGTGACTCTTTGAACACTGACAAAAATAATGGAGGTCATTTAGAAGAACAAAGTACATATTTATAACTTTGTGTTGTAAATCAGTGTTCTTGTAATTCCTCTCACCATCAAGACTCTACTTCTTTATGTGTAATAAATGCTCAGCCTGGATTTTGGTGCAGTTGTCTAAGCAAGCTGTCTAAGCAAGAGCAAGGAATCAGAGACTTCTGAAGCTTTTAACTAGTGTCTCATCAGTTAACTTAGGTTTCTAAAGATAACCTCTTGTTTTCAGATTTGGAATCAGAGTGGTGCTAACCTAGAGATGGAGGGGGATTAGGGTTAGATTACATCATCTGAACTGTCTAACAGAAACAGTGACATTCACTGACTTGGCCATCAGTTTGTTCTGTAGTGGAAGTAGTTCCATGTTATTTAAATGAACAAATAACCCCACAAATAAAAAATCATCTCGAGTGAATTAAGTGGGTCAAGTCTAAAGCAAGCCCTCTGCCATAAACATGTCAGATTTCAAAAACTCTAATTTACATTTCTTCAAGATACTACGTAGTATAAATCGATATTTTAGCTGAATATGGGAATGCAGAATAACCTTAGCCAAAACTTGCCCTTAGAATTAGATGAATATACATGTGTATAAAAGGAAGAAAAAGAGTTGATTAAATTTTCCTGGTTGGGATAATGCTAATAAGCTTGTTTCTATCTCTATTGCTGCTTGTTGCAATGAATTTCCGTACTTCTATCTTTTCATCACAATAAAATCACGATATTACTTAGGATTATTTTTTTATTAACATGCTTCCTCTCCCCAAAATCACATGAAATGGTATGAAGTGTTCCTTTTCACCTATTGCAAATACTCTCAAATAATCCATCTGTGATTTGAGCACGGGTTATGAGTGGGCAGCAGACAACCTGACCCATGCAGAGCTCTATTTATTGCTGAGATTCAGCTAGGATAAACTGCATCTGAAGCAAATTAGACCTCCCAAACTTTTAAAATAATTCCCACTTATTCATCCATAACAATTTACAGCAATATTGCAAAATCACAAATTTTTCTGTAATGCTTTTTGCATTTGCTCAGTATCAGCCATCTTGAAGAAAAGTGCTGTGTGGCTTAAAACAGATGCACTCACAGATGTCTCCCTTTTGACTGTGCTGAAATTGGCAGCATTAAATCCTAGGTGTTGCTCCAATAGCAGTTGAGGTTGTAAAATCATTCCCTAGAAGTGAGCCTGCAATTGTATCTTTCTGGTTACGCGAAGCAAGCTTTCACAGAATTACAGAATTGTAGGGATTGGAAGGGACCTCCAAAGACCATCAAGTCCAACTCCCCTGCAAAGCAGGCCTCCTAGTGCAGGTTGCGAAGGGAGGCGTTCAGGAAGGTCTTGAATATCTCCAGAGAAGTAGAATCCACAACCCTCCTGAGCAGCCTTGTTCCAGTGCTTACTGTGAAGAAGTTCCTTCACATGTGGGTGCAGACCTTCCTGTGCTTCAGTTTATGGTCATTTCCCCTTGTCCTGTCCCCACAGACCGTTGGAAAGAAGTTGGCCATGTCTGTTTGACTCTCACACTTATGAACATTTATAAACATTAATAAGATCACCTCTCAGTCTTCTTTTCTCAAAGACCCAGTTTGCTCAGCCTTTCCTCGTAGGGGAGGAGCTCTATATACTTTCTAGTATGTATTGGCTAATTTATTTATTTATTTATTTATTTATTTGGTGGAGCTGCTAAAAATTACTTTCTGCATGAAAATCCAACTTCAACAAAATCAGTCTGTAGCCTGGTTTGTCAGCAAAATGAGGAATATGAGCTTAGTTGTTCTGAGCAATTCATCTGCCTCTCATTAACTACCATTGTATTAGATGATGGTTTGCAACCACTTTTGACAGGATACAAACAAGAACTGAGTCAGTCTTCCCACTGTAAATTGCAAATACAGGGGCTGGAACTGCAGGAGATGCAACTGCACTCCACAGGGGGCAGGAATGAAGGCTGTGGCTAGCAGCATTGCAGATATGGATTTTTTTATTAGAGCTACTATTTACACTTGACTGTTTCAGCTTATTGAGAGACTTTCTCCTGAAGTTCCTAGCCTGGGCACCACCAAGTACTATGGAAAACAAGAAACACCTCTTTACACAGGCTGTCTTGCTTTACTGTTTAACTAAGTTAATTACTAAGTAGGGGTCCTCTTAATATTCCTTCTATTTTATTGCTAGTACTACATATGTACAAATATGTATCTCCCTACCCAAGTCCAGTCTTATTTAAATGGATGAACAAAAAAATTATCCTTTGGAAATAATTTCACTGACACTTGTGCAATAAAGCAGTTAATTGGTGTAAATATGAAGAGAGTCAGAAGTATCAAGACGCCCATTGCTACTGCTGAACTCATTTTCTCTATTATCTAATGGCTCCATCTCAGATTGTATGGTCCCAAAGTCTGTTTTTATAATGAAGATAAGTAAAGGCTTTGTTTTGGAGGTATTTTCACTGAAAGGGTATTCAAATTTTGTGAAATTGGAAGTAGTTCACTTCCCCAGGACTCTGTGAACAGCTGCTCATTTGTGAAAGTTTGTGTTTTCTTTTTAATTATTATTTTAATTTTATTTTGTGGCATGCTGTAGTCCATGCCAAGTCCTGTTTAGGTCATAGCCAAGCTTCACAAATTCAAGAAAATTCCAAGTTCCAAGACTGTATGCCACCATGTTGGTTCTCCTACCTGTTTGTGAGGATAAACGTTGATGTGGCACTTGATGCACTCTTGTCCCATGTTAGCCCAGGAGTTTCCGCTCATCCATTTTCTCTTGCATTTGGGGCACTTATATTCACCGAAGCAGCGTTTCTTGCCCTGGTATGGGGTCAGGCCTTCTCCCTTGGGACGAGCCTAAAGAAAGCAAAAAAATGCGTAGCAATGAGTGATCAATGCATTTTAATAAAAGAGAGTAAAACAATGTCTTTGTACAGGAAACTATGAGAACAAGATACTGGAGACAGGCAGCATGAAGGTCATATCTTAATGAATAGTTTGTATGTTGAAGCTCAAGTTTAAGTTCAAAGAGGTACTTCTGAGAAGTATAGAAAAATTCAAGAATGCTTGCAACGCTTCTGGCACTGAACTCAGCATTTAGAAATTTTTGTGCACGTTTGCAAATAATATTTTTATTATGAATTTCATTATAACCAAATCATATATTGAATAAGTATTGTTATGATTATACATAGCATCTGGAGAAGTAGCTCAGTAGGCTTTTGTGGCTAGGTCCTTATCTTCTCCAAGGGAAGCTTTCAGTAAGGAAGCTTTGCAAGTAAGAATTACATAGCCTTAAATATTGAAATGCAGGTGATGCACTAGTATGGGGGTACACATTGCTATATGTGACAGTCAAACTGAGGTTAAGTATGAAGGAAAGATAAGATTTTGATCAAAGGAAATCATTAATTTCATGAACTTCATTAGGATTTCTGGTCACTGTAAACAGTGTTTCACTGATCCTCTGTTTTGAAGGAAACAGTAAAGGATTCCCAAATGTAATGAACTGCCGTGATGTAGAAATATTAAATATTGCCTAAAGAAAGCCTGCTTACCCAGGGAAGCTATTAGAGTTGGCAATGACCTTATGTAAATAGCTTTTCTTTTGCAGCAGAAATATGGCGATATACATAATAACGCTAATACTGCAAGGTGACAATGAGTATTGCATACAGCTGTCCTGGGAAGAGCTGTATGCATGAAGCTCCTTTCCCAGAGACTCTAGCAGATGTTGAAATGCTGCCCGCATATTCACTCTATTTTGTTTATCGTTGTCTAGAGGGAGAGACTTCCCCTGTGCTATGGCAGGATGGTACGATCACCTATCAAAGGATGCTTTGTTATTTGTTCATAAGTCATGCTGCTGAGGCTTTTTTTTTTTAAGTTCCCAGATTAAGTTTACAAAAGTTAAATGGCCCATCGTGCTGGGAAAGGGGTTGTTTTGTTTTGGGAGCTTGTACGATTTCTCAGTGTGTAGGTCCAAATTGCTTTCTATGTGAAAACACTGGTTGGAAAAGCAGGTGGTTGGCAGAAGACCTGAGCTTGGCAGGCACACTGGGACTCCAGCTCCCATGGCTGGTGGTGTTCACTGCACTACCTCCGGTGTCGCGCGTGGGAACAGAGCATCAAGCACTGAATCCTGCACCCTGGCCGATGGGAGACAAGCAGGGGGCACCCAAAACCTTCTCTGGCATGCTGGCCCTATTTTTATTTTTCAGTGTCAGTGAACAACATTTTCTGCTTTTTTTTTTTTTTTTTTTTGGTGCTTATTCTTCAGCATAATTACTCTTCAAAAAATCGGATGTGGTAGCACAAACAACAAACGCTTCTAACAGTTTTTCATGACCTGATGTGCCACTGTAAGTGTTCTGGCTCATGGTGAAGATGAAGCTGATGCTAAGACATACATTTACACTGCACAAAAAAGTGCTCAGTATAATGGGAAACATTTGGACTTTCATGCCTAAATGAGTGCTGGCAGACACCCAGGGTTTAATCCTCCAATCCATGGTGTTCCTTGATAAAGATGGAGATTGCAATTGAATGTAGGGCAGGAAAATGTCAATTTATGGAGCCGTCCTTATTCAGGACACTTAATTTGGCACTGCCTCTGAGGAATTTGCTGCACAGCTCAAGTCAGTGTAAGAAGGAGCCACATGCTCTCTTCATTTACAAATTCTCATGGAACTGAATAGGAGCCCTGTGTACAAAGAGCTCCCATGATTGTGAGATGTTTCCCCTCCTCCTGAGGTGTCATGGATTGCTTTGTTTGTAGTTTTGACTGAAGCTATGCTATTGAACAGTGGAAGAGAATTATTTCCAATTCTCAGTTTCATCGACACAGTACTTAAACTCTTCCTCTGGTCATAGCTGGAAAGGCAGCTTCGTTACCCCTACTAAGCAGCAGTCCTTTCAGAAAAAGTACAGGTCACTGAGCATGTTATTTCCAAAAGCAATAGCGTAGACTTTGGAGACAGAGCATGTCTGAGAAGTCCTACACATGTTTATAAACAGTATTAGAACATAAAACTCCCACTGCGGTATGCTGTGCCAACCATAAACAGTGTTAAAACATCAGATTCCCCAGGCAATATGTTAGCTAGCCACGCCCTGCAGGCAGGGCATCTCTGAGATGGCTGCCTGGAGCAGGATGGGGAGCACAGGTTTCTGCAGCTGAGGCAGCTGGCTGCAGAGACAGAACAGAGATGCTGTGCCCTCCCAAACTCATTGCAGGGCACTGGAGGTGCTTGTCTGTGATGTCCTCTATGTGTATAGCTGGGCTCCAGCACTGGAGGCTTGCCAGATTAGAAGTCATTTCTCTGACTTGCTCAGTCAGTGGGAAGCAGAACCAGGAAAAGAAGGCAGGAGAGGGAACTCCAGAGGTAATTTCCTGTTATAATTGCTTAACTAAACTTCTGATTTATTTTTACTTTAACTTTTCAGCTGTCACACCTTCCTCCTTATTCAGAGACTTTAATTAGTTTGCTGGCAAACCACAACTTTCTCTGTAGGTGTTTCGCTACTCAGTTTTATGGATGTTTATACTTCACCCTAAGAGATTTTATTTTCTTTCTCATATCCTCAGTTTCCCAGACTATGCCTGACAGGGAAGTTGTTTTCTCAAACAAACAAGCTCATTATCAAGAAATGCCATTTGGAATCACTGAAAGCAGTGAAAGTAACTCTCCAACTCGCTTCACCCTTCGGGTTCAAACAAAACAGACGTGACAGTTTCTGGTGAAAGGCACAATAGATCTTGCAAAAGCCCTTCCGAGGCCCTCTCTCCACAGCAGTCAGAAAAATGGAAGGGTCTTGTCCTTAGGCTCATTAGATAGAGATGCATTACCTCAATCTTCCAGACAAAAGGCTACAACAAATGATAGCATCTTTGCAGCTTTATCTAAGCACGTACCTGAAAGTTGGTGCATGAGCTTGCCTCAATGAGATTTAACCTATGTATAAACCCAGCAATTTTTTCTTTGTGGCACAGCAGTGAAAATTACTTCAATGTTCCATCTTTTACTGACACCCAACTACCTCTACTTTTCATCTTCCTCCATTCTTCAGCCAAAACCACAAATTGGCTATAATAAGATTTTAAAACTTTTAAAGTTGATCTTTTCTGTTAGTAACTGGCCAGCTGAGCTCTCACACATAACCTATTGGACTGTGCATCTCATGGAGGAATCTGCCAAATCACTTGGCAGTGATGGCCATAATAAAGGATTCTGCTTTCCCCAGACAGTTCTCTCCAAGTATCAGTTTGCAGAGTCAGCAACAAAACAAAACAAAATCTCCACATGTCCAGCTTAGGACTAGACTGATTATAAACAACAGCTTGCAGAGATTTCCTTCGAAGTGGAATGGAGAAGTTCAGTTTGTTTAATACTCTTCTTCCCTCCATCATCCCCTGGGTTTGTGTTGCACAGCTGAAAGATGTACAACGCAGGAGGATGATGAAGTCAGCGTGACACTGATAGGTGGGTCTCCTTCCTAGAAGGACATTGTAAGTATCTGCTTATAAGGATGATTCAACAGAGCAGAAAAGCAAGAACAGAAAACAATAGCTTGATGCACTGCCTTCTCCCAAGTGATATGCAGGAGTGAGAGGGCTGGAGTTGTATTTTGAAATATGAGCTTTCTGACACTCGATTTTAAGTCAGTAAAACTAGGAGGCAGCATTACTCAAGTACTTCTAGCGTGCATATTTTACATTGTTCTGCCAACAATGCTGGGAAACATAAAATGATTATGGTAAAGGATACCCCAAACGCTCAGTCGTAAAGCGAAAGCATTATGACTGATTTGACATATGGAGTGTCCTGGCCCTCTGCTTCTGTAGAGCATTGGAAAAGTCACTCCAGTACTTTGGCTTTATTCATATTTGTGTAGGCTGTGTAGGGAATGGAGATACACTTGATTATCTATGGAAGTCTTCAGCAGAAGTAATGCCAAAATGGCACAAAATGAATCTATCTAATGAATGATCAGCATTATTTCTTTGTCTTTCCTGACCTTTGCAATAATTCAAATTTGAAATTCAGCATGAAACCTGGACTGATGCAGAGGCTGTGTGTTTAGGAAATGAGTTCTAATATAGCTGCTCTTATTTTGCTTGCTGCCCGTAAGCCATTTTGCTGGTGTATGATATTGCTGATGTGAGGCACTGAAGACTTCTGAGATATTCAATTGCTGTAGCTACATCTTTAATTAGTATGCACAAAATAGGAACAGGATTTGGGGATACAGAAACGAAATTAATTCTTTCAACTTTCTTGTCCCTGGTATAATTTGGGTATTATTGATATGATGAGAACTGGCAGGTTAAAGGGGGACTCTTCATTACAGCATTACTACTAAAAGCTTTTATTCAGCTTTTATGGAGTTGCTAGATATAACAGATATCCAAACTAAGGATTTATGACACACAAAATTGTAGCTGAGCAAGACATGAATGAAAAACAAACTTGCAAACATAACAGAGGAGGTTAGTGTGTATTTTGCCTAGGATTTTCCTGGGGGCTTGACATGTCACAAGGCCTGGGGTTACATCATTTTCTGCCTGGGAGGCTGTTATACGGCTGCTGCCATCACTGGAAGAATCAGTTATTTATACCACTGCATTCATAGAAACAAGCTCATTCTTTGCTGCAGTCAGGGTTCACCTGTTGTTATCACTAATCTGAAATCTCCTCTTGCATGCACGTTAGTTCTGCTCTTAAAATCCATTCAAGGCAGGATGTGCCTTTGTACTGAGGTTCTTTATAATAAAACAATTACAAAAGTCAGTCATCTGATAAAATTAGTCGGATTTTTTGTCACTCCTTCTCTAGGGCAGTATGCTTACTGTCTCC